AAGAAAAAAAAAAAAAAAGAAAAAGAAAAAGAAAGAAAGTCAATATAAAAGTTCAAAGAGAAGAGCAAAATAAAAATATAGGGTATATTGGAAAGAAGGTAGCAATTTATAACTAAATGGGGAATGGGGTCCTTTCAGCAGACATTGTATATGGGCCAGCAAGGAAAGAACTTTGATATACATAGACGGCTAAATTATTTGATCACAGAATTGGAGGGCATATGGTTATAATAGCCAAAGGTACTAGTAATATACAAGGTCCGATCGCAGGTAGTAGAGAAATATCCAGAGATCAGCAAATAGCGCTTCGTGAAGATGTATATACTAGGATATATCCAACCTACCACAGTCTCCCTAGCGATAGAGACAAATACTACACCTGTTCTGGCGACCAACAAGCAAACTTCACGACGGCGTCAAAGTTGTCTGGCTCAAAGTGGAAACCCTCAATCTGAAAACCCCAAGCTTCAGCAACCCGTTGATCTGGGTGAACTCAGGGATCGCTCGAGAGTGCCATTCAGCAGTAATAGGGTCCGAGTCAGTTCGGAAGGAGATATCGAGCCATGTGCTATGCTCCAGATGAAATTTAATATATTTTAACCGGGGCATGTGTCGTGCTGCGTGGCCCATGGACGTGAAAAAGCGATGGTATTCCTCAGTGTCGACCATCTCTCGCCTTGCGAATCCGCACTCGCAGTCACAGATTATGTCATCTGGGCTACTTATCCCCTCGTTTGGTTCATCTATTTTGGCTTGCTCTTCGGGTGTCGGCAAGGCGAGCCATTTACCTGGGGTTTTGGAGTGCATTATTAGTGTAGACTCTCGGAGTGGAGTAGAGAGGATATCCCACACCTGAAGGGAGGAATGGGGGCACATAATTTAGCTCTAGAATCATTAGATCAGGCCATTGCAGCGCTCCAGTGTTTTGTAGAGGCCGACCAGATTCATCCAGAGGCCATAGAAAATCTGAAGACAGAGATGTATTATATAGCTTTAGCTCTTGAAGAACAGTACTTAAATCTCGCAGATTGATGGTGAAAGCGTCTGTTTCCGTTGACATGGCATTTAATGCAGGTAAGACAGATTTCCACGGCTCCTCGTATTGATTTGAATAATGTAGGACTTTCAGGCTGTGCGGAGCGCTGTTGAACAGTTCAGATACACCCGTGTACTTATTAGCAAGGAACACAGAGAGCCTGCTACAATGTATTCTTGAACATGGAGCATACGGTATGACATGTATGGGAGATCTGAAGGAAGAAAGCAAAGGAAAAAGCCTGCTCTTACCATCGTGACGAGCTCGAATATACTCTATATGATCCGGTCTTACCCATTCATCCAGATTTATATATAATTGTGAGATGGTGGATTAGTGCTGGACGATCTGTGTCACTGTACCAGCCCATATCTGATGAAACCGATGCCTAAGGTTGCTCTGAGCATCCGAGGGCTCATTCGTGAAAGAGGGCTTGTCAACGCATGGCACATATGCTAACACCGAAGCATCATTATTGTGGAAGCGCGCCCCGGTACGGTGGGACAGACATTTCCCGCCCATACTTATAATCGTACCGGTATTCACCTGCATCCTCGAAGTACCAGGTATGTGGCTCGTGCTCCTCGCCCATTTGGCGACTCAGTAATCCTAGCTCTAATGAAAGACGATAACTTTGGTCCCATGAGCTGAGGGTCTCAAATAGAGCAGCCATAGCTGTCTGAAAGGCTTGATCATTTGCTTCTCGAACGGGATTATCAACATTGTAGCCTTCATCTTTGTGGTGTGTCCAGTCTAATAATTCGAAGGGGACGAGGATGTCGTACTGCAATTTTCGTATCCAGATTCGTCGGATTACACCAGATCCTGCTGTGGCCTTCTGAAGTGAGCCAGAGAAATCCCTTTTTGGCCTTTCTCCTTGTGGGCATCGTCGCTGTAGACGATTATATCAGAATAGATAAATGGCTCAAAAGCGGCTTGCCACTGACGGCAGACAGTTGTATATGGGACTAGGCAGTCGCCTGCCTGATATGGGATGCGTGCGATCTCGGATAACAGTTCTAGGGGTAGGGTCGCTGGCATGGTATCGGCTAAGAGCTCTTTACTGTAAATAATGATGTGTAAAATGTGTTGATTAATGACTTTCTCAGATTTTGCTTGTCGAATAACTAAGCATCATTAACTGAGCAACTCTTTCTTAGTTACTAACAGAGAAAGATTAGTAGTTAAGTCCAGTTGCGTTTCGCCGGTTTTCCTCGAGTATATACAAATGTGGGTCTTATTTCAATTCTATTCGTGACCCTACATTGTGGCTCAGTATGGCCAGGCTTTTCGAGTTAAACAAGTCATTTTTTCCCGAGCTATCCAGCCAGACCCAGCACTTCAAACCTGTCCTTGGTTATGGGGATCAAATGCTGAAATTTATCCGTTCATTCGAGACAGAACGCAAAAGATGGCTACCGGATATTTTTCCATCTGAATGTTCGTTGCCCAAAACACCGAAAACACTGGCAGGAGCCGTCATATTTGAAACGCTTGAGAAGACAAAGCAGATCTGTCTACTACTGGGCTCCATGAAGGGGTTTGATATAGGATTTGACGCATTCTCACTTTCAAGAGGGTTCGATTTGAGCAAACCATCACGAGATGTACTGGACACACTTCAGCAACATTCTAACCCAAGGCCAAAGGGTAAAGAAATCAAATTAAGAGAAGCTACGGCTACAATGCATGTGAGTTTATGGATCCATCATGGTATCAAGTGCTACATGGTAGATCTATATGTGGGACTAGACTAATACAAGCCGCGGGGGAGGAGATCGGGAAGCTACGGTACTGTTCGCTATTCTTTAGCTCAAACAAGCAAACCTAATGCTTTGAGTTAAATTTGCAAGCACTGCACTTCTACATGCACTCTTCAAAAGGAGTAGGTAATTTCTAACATATGATTCATAATATACGAAGCTTTTCGAATAGCATAGCTACTATATCTACATTGGACTTTAGTTTCCTTTTTGGAATGTTCCAAGAAGCTTCAATTATTCTTGGTGAGCTTCATTAAAAATTTATATGAAAAAGAAATTATTCAATATTCTACTTGTAAAGCGCTACCTAGGTATTGGGTAATTATCTAACAAAAGAGCATAGTTATAGGTAGGTACTAGGCCTATTCATGAACCCGCGGTCAACAAGTTCTGATAACAGGATATACACGTTATTGGCTGTAATTATTCTATGAGAACCATTTTACCTATTCTGCAGCTATACATGAGTATGACCTATGATTATGACATTCTACACACCGTTGAGTGTTGATTCTTCGCAACGGCCATCCAGCCTGGGGTTTGTAGTTCTAACTACTAAGTCCCCACATGGGCGTCCTTCGATCAATATTGACCACCGTTAACAGATAATCCCCGCGACTTTACTTAGTCACACAGCGCTAGAAGTTCATTTTCTGGTCATACTCCTCCGGCGACAAAGACAACAATTTAATATGCTCCTCTCGCGTGAGCTTCCTTGCACTATCTTGGACGTTCTCCTCTACGGCCAGCATTGCAAGCCGTCTTGCAGCCTCTCGAATACCAGCGCTCCGCCGAGTTTCAATGACGGTATCGGTAGTCTGCGGCTCAATGTATTGCCAAGGGTCGGTCCAGAGAGTGTAGAATAGCACACCGGGCTCCTGGATGAAGGAAGGCTTATCAAGAACCACTGTGAAGAAGTGATGGGGCAGCGGGGTGATAGAACAGTCACGGTTAATCTGAGGCAGTGCCCGCATGATTGTACCCGCCTCAAACTCATGGGAGGCACCGACATCGAATCCGTTGGGTGGAGCAGATAGCAGGGAAGACAAGGAGGAAGAGCTAGGAATTCGGAACTCGAAGTATATCATTTTGGTGGTAGGGAGATGGGAGATGATGCCGGCTGTGAATGTACGCGCAGCGGTCTCCAGCAGGGTGGTCTTTTCCTGCACTATATCTGCGAGGAACTGGACATAGATGACGTATTGAAGGTCAGATTCGCCATCCGAAGAGTTGTTTGTAACCGCGACTGTTTCGTTTTCAGCCCCCCAGCTAAGATGAAGTACATTCGAGTCCACGGATTGGTTTTCTACCATTTGCCTTTGCTGCTCCAAAATGTCCTGCATGTGTTGCAATGTGAGAGTATCGGACGACACGGGCGGGGGCGGCTCATGGAGTCCATAATCAATTTGTCCATTGACATATGTCGAATATATCCCTCTCATAAGCTCTTTCAGGTTGGAGTCCATTTCGCTTTCATTTGTCGTAATATTTACATTGATATCGCGAATTTCGGGGTTGACTAAAATGCCCCACTCTGAAAAGGTTCGAAGGTCAGTTGCTGGACTATCGAGACGTTTTATCATGTCCAGCTGTTTTACCGCGGATGGAAGACTCCGATCGAAGCTAATCCACCAGGGACCCGTGCCGTGGTCATTGTCTCTGAATGAACCTTGGAGGTAGCTCTTCGAGGTGAGAAGGAAACAGAATCCCGACATGAACTGATCGTTAAAGCCTGTTCGCATCGTTGGAATCAAAGGGGGAAGAGACTCGTCATATTCGCCATCATGCTGTTTGGCGTGGAGGCGCTTGCGATAGGCAACCTCACGACGCTGATGCTCCACGCAGGCGAGACCATCCGGGGGGTTGCATGAGTAGATCTCCAGAAAGGGGTGCTGGCTGAATTCAAAGCAAAGATATTGATACAGCTTGTTGAGCTCCTCTGGCTGGATGGAAGTCGTGCTGTATACTTGAAGTCGGTAAGCTTCACCGTCATCCGGCCTATAAAACTGGCCTTCGTAGGTGGCCACCTTCCCCAGAATGACAGTGTTGCCTTCATGGTCGACATATTGCCGCTGCATCCATCTTATGGGCGAGTCGGATGGATCCCGTGCAATCTGGGCTGTTCTCGCCATGATGCTTGAAAGATAGAAGGTGACCAGGGGGTTGAAGGTGTGGAATCAGGAGGGGTATTGGAAGCAATGCCAAGATTTGCAACTCCGTTAGATTAAACGACGATCTGCTTCGTCTTCCTACTACTATCCGGCCCAGTCAATCGGCCTGGCCCTGAAAGGCAATGGGGAGAGAAAAGACATATATTTCGGCCCTGATATGCGTACTCAAAATCAATACTCCAAGCATAATTTGAATAGAATATAAGGGGTTGAAAATATTGGGACTGTATCTGAATAGGTCTCAACCGCGGGAGTTGGGTCTCTTAACACATTAATAAATCGAATATTGCCTAGCCGGCTCACTACCGGGTGAACTCTTGGTTAAGAGAAAGTTAAGCTCTTGAAGTCCCCTGAATAGGTGAGAGGGACGTCTTGGAGACAGATGAAGGTTGGTAGTTGGTAGGGTGACAGGATGCATGTGCCGTAGATCCACAGTTTTCTGCTCTTTCAGACTGACTAGGTTCATGAAGACTTGATTTGGTATATGCTATATGGATTACGTACATCCGAAGTGCTTATAGGCTAGATCGGAGACTCATGGAGACATGAATATCTATGACTCATACCCATCTCCAAGAAAGTCAACGTTTAGTTCTTCTGAGTATCATTGAGAACATCATTTCTCCAGATGAGCAGTTGCATAGCCACCGCATAGGGTCCACCAATACCCAATATCAACAATAGCTTCAGCACTACCCCTGTAACACCCGTCGATGTCCTCCGCTGCTGCTCGCACGTCCTGAGATAGGCAACCAGGGCCCACACGCACATCGCAGTCGAGCTGACTGCATAAGCACACTTGGATACAGAGAAAACAAACTCCTGAGGGTTCGAAGTGAGATGAGGAGCCCACGGCACCGGGGGGACAAACATCGCGTACATCGCCCGTCCGGGTGTCTCACCCAGGCTCAAACACCAGAGCACTGTCCCTAGGTGGGATACGACGGCCACGTAGAAGCTGAAAACGTAGCCGGAGCGGAGTCGTTGCATGATGGAGTGGCGGGTGGTAGAGGAGCGCAGGCAGTCATGATTTGGACGCGTTTGCATCAAATATGCAGTGCCCACGAGCCATGCTGGCCAAAAGCAAACGATCATCGCTCGGTGAATTCTTACCTCCTCTGATAGGGCATAGGTTGCGGGTAGGTGCTGAAGTGAGAAGGGAATGAAGAAGAAGAGGGCTTTCCAGGTGGGTAGGTAATTGATGAGAACCTCGTTTTCTAGAATAGCCTCCTGAGAATCCGGGCGGCCATCGGGAAAATTAACAGTATAGTACAGAGGCAGAATGAGATTTGGGCCGACGAACATGCAGGCAAGGCCCCATATGCTGATTCTATTTGACGGTTGGCTTCAGTATGCGCAAAAGTGTTTCTTGAGGGAGCAGGAGGCAGGAAGGAGCCCTTACTGGTTGAGGATTTGGGCAAATGACTTGTGTCGGCAGCTTTCCATGATCATCACTATCCAGGCTGATCCCATACAACCAAAATACTGGAGTACTTGCAGGGTCTTCGGGGTAGGTGCATTGAGGCTGGCTGACAGGTAGGCCAGGCGGAAGAAGGCCATTTCCCAGTGAATGGTCGACAGAAAGCGGTCTAGCGTGCTTTCACTGATAACCGTTTTATCGGCAAGTAAGGCTGGGACACTACCCATATCGAAGTACTTGACGAATGAGGTAGGGGGGCGCGGGCGCGTCCAGTGGTCCAGGAGGACATTGCCGCCTAGCCCGAAAACGGAGATTAATGCTGCGGGCTTGGGGTCTGCATAAACACAGGCGGCGCGGGTAGAGTAGGCACCGGCAGAGAAGCCGGCGACGGCGATTCGGGTCGTGTCAATGCAGACGCCGTCTGGGAGGTGGGAGGCGAATTAGGAGCTAGCTAGGAATGAGAAAAGGGTCTTAGCATCGTCGATCTGGTTGATGGCGTTGCTTGGGTGGCAGAGGCGGTAGTCTGCTGAGATAAAGATGTATCCTTTTTCTTGACAGTGTTCTAGTAGGCATGTTAGCTTTGGTTTTATGTGCCAGGGGTCAATGCCACTTACGGTATATCCAGTCCGGACAGGGCCCTTCGCGCCTGGAGCCAGTTGTCATGCCGCCGCCGTGGTAGTAGATCATCGCGGGCAGAGACCCCGTGGCAGGGGGGATATAATAGTCCATGCAGATTTCGTGACCGGCGACGGCGGAGTAAACCAGTTTCCGGCCTCCTTCGGGGGAGTGGAATTTCAAGAATTTCATTGCGAGTCGGAAGAGCCACCGGTAAATGAACATAATGGCGTGGTAATTCACTATCCCACGGTCTCAGATCTAGGGGGTATTGCTATTGTGTATGTAATTGAACTATTCTGCGGTAGAGACTGTAGGATTCCTGAGGATTGTTAATGGAGGGTTGTTTGTTGACTAATATTGTGCCAGTTGTATGTTATAATTCTCCAGCGTAGAAAGATATCCTTTTTAAGGTTATCTGATCCTAAATTTAAAGATGAATGCCGCCTGTTCATCCCACTGCCGGTCCCACAAACCCTCCCACATCTGCTGTGGAGACCATCGGCATCACCAACTATCCGGGAACTTTCGACACTGTGTCTCTCGGCGACAACGGGAACTTGGCCGCCGAGCCGATGAAAAGAGGATGAAATATAGTATCCTAGAAATCCATAATATATGTACATCCAGTATTTCAATTCCTAACTAGTTCCTGGGTCACCAACATTGTCTTCTATCTGAAATAGCTTATCTAGTAGATAGGCCTGATCTTATGAAAAATGGTTTACTCAAGTATTTAGTGGACTTTGAATAGGGCGTACGTAGCTACTGAAATTCTCGAACGACCGACTCGTCCGGTCCCAAAACCCGCTCATAGAATAGTTTTAGTGTGCCCGAATGTTTCGGAACCGGGGTAGTCGGTAATCCGAACACTTGACAATCTACGTAGTAACCGTAATACTCAACTTTTTATACGATAAACTACTATTTTATACCTGGCGATATCTACTTGGCCTATAGCAAGGGGGTAAGCTTGATGACCATTTCCGAATGTTATGCCTCATCGTCATGCGAGTATACTTTTACGGAGAGACTACTCTCCGTCTCCGAAGAAAAAATCAAGGCTTTTCCTCCTTTCTTTGCGGCTTATAGCCAGCCACTAATGCTTACACTATGCAATATACTTGAGTGTCGAAGCAAAAATGCGTCCAGAAAGACAGAATATAATTATTATCTATTATACCTCCCTGTTAAACAGCTATAAACCCTTGACTAGCTAGCTATTATATGATATATCAAAGAAAAATATTAGTCCAGACTTAAGAGAGGCACGTTTACTACTCACTTTACTATAGTACTAGTAGAATAGAAATTTGACTCATCACAGAGTACTTCCTTTTGTAAATTCTAGGTTATACTATCTAAGCTTAGAATACAAGTGCCACTCTATTTTAGAATAGATAAATTTTGGATTACTATATAGTGTTACCATATCAAAATAATTATTATTATCAATTTATCATCAGATATATATTCACTCTGCATAATTGATACTGGTGACTCAACATATGTGACCATCGGCAGTGTCAATGCTGCCAACGAGGACGATTGCATTGCGTTCAAAGCTGGATTCAATTACTTCACCGTCCAGAATGTCACCTGTGATGGATCCCATGCACCCTCGGTTAGGTCTCTAGCCAAGGATCCTGACCACGTGGGTACGGTCCAAAATGTCTACGTATAGGGCCAGTGATAAAGAGTTCAGCCAAAGCGGCCGCAATTAAAATCTATCCTTGGGGTATACAGCGTGGTTATGGGATTGTCACGAACGTCACCTGGGAGGATATCACCCTGGACAATTGCGATTTATGCTTTTCAGGTATCCGCCTGTTATAACGAGGATGAATCCTACTGTGAGGAGAATCCGATTAACTTCACAATTACGGAAATCACCTCGAAGAATTTCCACGACACTACCACCTCCAGGTACTCACATACCGTCACCCAATTCCTTTTGTCCCGTCGAAGGGCCAAGATAATGGTAGACGTTGGTTCCGGAAAGGCTCGTGCCGAGGTTTGACACAGAGGGCAAACAAGGGTTCCCTAGCGCGTCACGAGCAGCCTTACTGCGGGGTTTTCTGGGGTACCCTGAGACGGGCCAACAACAATTGGTGGAGAAATTTTCGACCCAATAGGAGGATGTATGCTTGACTCGAGATTGTGGAAGATGAGGACAAGAAAATGTGACTTTTTTAATGTTTCCTGCAGCCTAAATGGGAGTCCTTAACTTTGATGAACTGGCCGAGCTACTACTAGGGACAATACACTGAATGTGTCGTCATCGTGGAGTTCTGTTTCAACGAGTCGTTCAATGATAGCGTCAAGAAAAAGGAACGTAGAAGTAGAAGTATCACAGCTGGCTCCTTAAGGTATGGGACAGGCAACCTATTTCTTACCAAAACCTGTAGACTCAGTGAATCAGTATACGTCGACATCCTGTACTATCCTTTTGACACTGTAATTAAAGCTTGATATGGTCCAGTACATGCCATGGCTGAGAGGAATATAGCTTAAAGACTGCATGTTCAGCGCCAAGGGAGCTTCCATCTCTCGGACCATGCTTGATCCAGAGACTTTGCAATATATTCAACAATTTAGCCTGTTTACCTGAAATGCCGAAGTAGCTAATACCCATGGGTAATTGCCCAAATGAGAGCCCTCAAGCACAGCGGCGCCAAGATTCAATTGTGATACATATAAAAAGTCATTTCATAACCAAATACCTTCCATCCTAGAGGCAACGATTTCTCGGTGACCCATTCACAATGAATCTCCTTGCCCTGGTAACTCTGGTTATTGCTTTTCCCGCACTGAACGTGGCTGATGATGTTCCTTCTGCTCCTACCATAACTGCATATCCGAAAGCTCCAGGGAATTTCAAACCAGCCCCTGGTCACCAAACCCATGAAGGTAAAGTCTGCCAGGTCGAGCCAAACCTGGTAGATGCTGGCCCCAGTATTCTTGCTGCAGCCCAAGAGTGCAACAATGGAGGCACTGTTTTTCTACCCTCCGGCGACTTTGTCATTGCAACCGCATTAGATCTCACTTTCCTGAGCAACATCGATTTTGCCATCTGGGGTAATATCAGGTTTAAACAGGATCTCGAGCTCTGGCCGACCCAGGCATTCCAGTACGCATTCCAGACTGCCAGCATGTTCTGGAGATTTGGAGGCGAAAACGTGAACATCTATGGTGATGGGAAGGGGGTGATTGATGGTAACCCTGTTTGATAAGCGAATCAGTTACAACGAATGGTTGACTTTTTGTTTTTCTAGGAGCTGGCCAGTTCTGGTGGAGTGCGATGGTCCAGAATTCTAGTGTCATGCGTCCTTGTCTGCTAGGCACGGACGGACTGCATCATGCCACCATTTCTGGGCTCACGATGCTCAACCCCCCAGGCTGGTTTAACCTCATTGCGAATTCAACAGATATCCTCGTCAGTGATATGACAATGTTGGTAGGCAGCGCATCACCAGATGCTCCAGCTAAGGTGCGCCCCATCTTCCTGGCCCCATCTACTAGACTCTACAATTAACTAGACCTGGATATAGAACACGGACGGCTGGGATATCTACCGCAGTTCTAACGTCGTCATCCAAGACTCGAGGATTGTCAACACGGACGGTATGGTTGTATTTTTTTTTCTTGACCGTATCCTCTTTGAACCCGCCGCTCACGGTACGCAGACTGTGTCTCGTTCAAGCCCAATTCCACCCAGGTTGTCGTCCAAAATCTAGACTGCACAGGGTCCCATGGTATTTCTGTCGGTAGTCTGGGCCAATACCAAGGGGAAACAGATCTTGTTGAGGATCTGTACATCTACAACGTCTCCATGACGAATGCGACAGACGTAGCCCGAATCAAGGTCTGGCCTGGTGTTCCTCCCGATGCCTCTGGCTCCACCAGCGGCGGAGGACTAGGTCGTGTCCGCAACGTTACTTACGAACACATACAAAGCGAGAACAATGACCACGTTATTTCCGTCTCGCAGTGTTACTATACTAAGAATCAGACCATGTGCGATATGTACCCCGTAAGTACTGAGCAATAATAGACAATAAACTAACACAGAAAAGCTGACCTGTCTTTCAAAGGCCAAACTTGTGATTGAGGATGTGCTTTTCAAGGACTTCAAGGGAACGACATCCACGAAGTATGATCCTCGCATTGGAGAGTTGACCTGTTCTAGTCCGGATGTAAGTTTTAGTTTACCAGCAAACTGTGCTGTGACCCTGTGATTCCAAATGCGGCCATTAACAGGTGTTACCTAGGTCTGTCACGACATTTCTGTCCATGATATCAACGTCACTACACCCAGTGGCAATCCTCCCATCTTTAACTGCAACAATATGGGAGATTCAGATCTTGCAGAAATCACGTGTGCGTGATTTTGGGGCTCTTCTATGGAATCTTGTGATATGAGGATGCTCAAGGCGACAAAAAACGATAGTCTGAAGATACATGTTCTTATGGCGTGCATCACTCACTTCATAGCAAATTTTATCCTGTTGTCGTTGGTGTCCGGAGGCCGACACATTTACCACAGCATTACCTTGTAGCTTTGTTCTTTGTTATGACGGATAAGTCTGTCAATGGGCAGTTGAGTTAGGTGAAAAATCTGATCCGTATCAGTCAGCTCATCTTGCTTCGATGAACAGTCTTGTAGTCTATCTGTCGGAATTGCTTATTATATTGGTTTCAAAAGATCGTAAACTGGCAGCCTCGACGACAAGGCTGCAGGCTTTGGTGACTAAGAAAGATATCGCTATTTTCCTAATGTAAATATACAAAAGACCTGCGGTTGAAAACCCTACGACCTAGATCACAGTTCACGGGATATCTCTTTATGCTCCTACAAGGTCAAGCCCTCGATTCAGACGAACGGCAGTGAATACTTGGTGTGTACGAGATAACTAGCATGAGCTGTAACATATATGTGTTATCCAGGAGTATAAACCATTCGACCGAGGGACTAAAGACTGACAACCATGGCCTAAGTGTGTAGGAGCTTCTAGACCTTTGGATTAATTGCAGGGAAATCAAGCTGGACCGAGAAACCTCCTGTGAGGGTTGATCGGATTAGAGCTTTGGTAGGTAAATCTAGAATTTTTCAGGCCAAGTCAAAGAATTCCCTGTGATGCAGCTTTCATGCTACCTATCTTGAGATATGAATTTAACCCTGCTGTTTATTGATGGGAGAAATCAACTATAAGCTCTTCCATCTCTCCACCAATGAGGGTTGATATCACCCACACCTGGCAATATATCAAAAAAGCCATAAAGAAAGCAAAATATATGTATATATATGTATGTATAAATAGGAATCATGAAGTGTATCGGTTCGTAAATATACCTCTAGTCTATATAGGATTCTTTTGAATATTAAGCCTGCGGGTGGCGCACACATTGGCAGTACCGTGGAAAGCCGTGTGGCTTTCGGGGGTGGGCCAGGGTCCTGCCAAGGGTCTCACACTGGCCATATATGGAGTAAGATGACTTCGCTTAGAGAATCGTGCAATATGGATAAGGTATATCTGAAACACTTATCACTATAGACCTTTCCGAATTGTGCAAAACATCCGCACTTCAGCGGGGCGGGATCGTTCTTGGCAGGAGAAACTAGGGACATTTTGTAAGGATCGTGACCAGAGGGAAGAGTTTCACGGTACATGGCTTTTCTTTTTCTTTCGTTCTTTTTAGGCAAAATTCAATTATTTATTATGATGTGCCGGGAGCAGACGTGAAGTATATAAGAAGAACAGGCTGGCACTCTACAGAGTACATCTGCCTCTAAACTAGTTTTTCTTTCCAGCTTCTATCCACTATGAGGGTGCCCTTTTTCCAACTTCTATGCCTAAATGCCGCCTTTGCGAGCGCCCAAGTTGTCTCGGGTGCTGCTGAGGGTTTCGCAGCTGGTGTGACTGGCGGTGGCGATGTATCACCTAGCTACCCCGAAACAAACGAGGAGCTTGTCGCCCTGCTGGAGAGCGATGAGCCCCAAGTCGTCGTACTTACTAAGACATTTGAGTTCATTGGAACTGAGGGATCCACCACCGAAGACGGATGCGCGCCCTGGGGCACGGGGGAGACCTGCCAACTCGCTATCAATGCTAATGGATGGTGCGGTGATAACCCGGTCGCAACGGTCACATATGATAATGCTGCCATGAACGGCATCCGTATCAAGTCGGACAAGACACTTGTTGGTGAGGGAGATGCCGGTGTGCTCAGTGGGAAGGGGCTCTATTTTGAGGGTGGTGTTTCCAACATCATCGTGCAGAACATTAAAATCACGAACCTCAACCCTAGGTAAGCCCCCCCCCCCCCCTTTTCTGATACAAACCACGCATGCTTTGACCTATTGTTCTAACATGTTACTACAGCCTTGTCTGGGGTGGCGACGCCTTTACCTTCTTTGGCGCTGACCTGATCTGGATCGACCACTGCGAAGTAAGAGAAACAACCCTTGGCAAGGAAAAAGGCTTCATCTTCTCACATACTTACTGATCGTTAGACTTCCCTTATCGGACGCCAACATTACGTTACCGGCTTCAACCCCAACACCCGCATGACCTGGTCGAACAACTTCCTCAACGGTGTGACCACACACTCCCCAGGGTGCGATGACCACCATTACTGGACGCTGGAGCTAGTCGGCGTTGGGGACGAGATCACCTTCCAGAGTACATTCCCAAGCTTCTCCCTCAAAATTATGCATCTGACTGACTCTCATCAGGCAACTATGTCTACCACACCACCGGGCGTGGGCCTGCTCTCTCCGGTACGACTCTCTTCCACGCAGTCAACAGCGTGTGGTCCGGAATCCCGGGCCACGCTATTGAAGGCGGGGACCAGGGTCGCGGTGTCTTCGAAGGGTGCTACTTCGAAGATGTTGTCGAGATCGCCCCTGCTGAGCCTGAAAATCAGCTTTTCAGTGCTAGTGACGAAAACGCCGCCTTGTGTGAGTCAGCGTTTGGCCGTGCATGCCAACCCAATGGCTACAGTGGCTCGGGTGCCTTTGACAGTTCCGATACAGGGTTTTTTGGTGACTTCGCCGGGCTGACGATTGCGCCGGCCGGCTCAGCAACGGACGCGTTGGGCTATGTTCCTGATAACTGTGGAATTGGGCGTGTTTGAAGATATGAACCTTAGGATAGAGGCTAAAAGGTGATATGGTTGGGTATTAGTCGAGGGAACGTGACTTTAAATCGGTTGATGGCCATTGAGGCATGGGTCTGTTAGAAAGCTTGTGTAGGATTTATTGGCCTTGAACAGTCTGCAGTAATTCAGACTCGGCTTTGATATATGTGCCGAAGGAGTTCTGAAGGTCACCCAGATACCGTCCGGTCCATATCTGAGTATGAAAGTGTAGTGTACCCGACTCCACCCAACAACCACAGAGTGCAACAACCTGTTTTCTTCTCTTCATCTATAATCTTAACCTAACATACTTCAAGCAGCTCTACCTCATGTGTATTGTATTGTGGCGCACTAGAACGCATCATCTTATTAGTTTTAACAGATTCTTTGTCCTGTTATACTACCTTCTATTCAACTATTGAACTGGTCAGACATCCACCGACGTAATAAGTTCAGGCTTAGGACACTGAGCATACTATGTCGCCATTCGGAACGCCATCTCTTTACACCCTGGCAAACGTCTGCTCAGTAGCGGCAAGTTCGACATTCTCTTTACCCTCGTTCGCTTGCTCAACATCCTCACGTTCCAGCTTCTGCTCGTGTAGCATAGCAGCACCTCTCTGCACGTGACTCGTACCCCCAAAGAGTGTATCCATTTCTTCGAGAGGCACTTTTTTTGTTTCAGGAATAAGGAACCATACAAATACTGCTAAAAGGACGTTGCACGCCATGAAGAAGAAGAATGATTTTCTGTGCAACACCGTTTTAGTACCTGCAAAAGGGGATGAATGCGGTGGGGCAGGGGGTGAAATAACTTACAGTCCTTCTTTCTCGTAGAAGATTGGGAAGAATTGTTGGAAGATTGTGTTCGCAACACCCTGCATCTGCGAGCACATACCAACTGCCTGGGCTCGCACATTCATAGGAAACACCTCTGCTGTGTAGATCCACACGGTTGCGCCCCAGGATGGCTTGTAGAAGAACGCGAAGAGGAACATGAGGAAGACAATAGCGATGCCAACGGGTTCAGTCTTTGCGCCTTCCGGTGTGGTGGGAGTTTCCAGACCAACGAGGGCTGTGATGAGCATGCAGACGGCCATACCGGTAGCACCGACGACGAGGAGGAATTTGCGGCCAAAGCGGTCGACAGTCCAGGTAGCATTGAGCGTGAAGAGGATACCGAATGTTGCATTAAGCGCATTGATGAGGTTGATAGTATCGCCATTCGTCCAGATCTTCTGGTAGATAGTCGACGAGTATGAGTTGAACGTGCCTTGGCCGGTCAGCTGCTGGCCAATGTTTAGTGCAAAGGTGAGGAGAAGGCGCTTGCGGACACTAGCATCCTTTAGTAGTGTCATGTAGGCTTTCTTGCCGCTGTCAAGAGCCTCCCGTTCATATTGAATGGCTTCCCGAATGGTAGCAAGTTCATTGTCGATCTCCTCATCTGTATCCCGGACCTGCTGGAGAACCTGTCGAGCGCCTTCTACATCGCGCTTCCGTTGGACAAGCCAGCGAGGAGACTCAGGCATGAAGGGAAGTTGGCAGATGATGATGGTTGGAAGTAGTAACTGGAAGATGACGACCATTTTCCAATCCCAATCACCCAGTGTGTCCCGGTGCTTCCCTGCTGCGTAGTTGACCCAGTAGGCGACAAACGAACCGACTGAGTAGAACATCTGCCAAAAGGCCATAACCAGACCACGGATATAGGAGGGTGTGACCTCCCCGATATAGATGGGACCGGCAGCTGCAGAGGGTTAGCTGTCGCACTTGGCAGGGCAGACTGGCAACTTACCGATAGCCAAGGCTTGTCCACACCCGATAAGAACACGACCGGCCATGAAAACTGGAACTGCGTTATTTGCGGGAGGAAAACATTGCAGGAATGTGGCAATAATCGTAATGAAGCATCCAATGCCCATTGCCCAGCGACGACCCATGTAATCAGCCTGGCGCAGGTCAGCCAGTGTGTTATAGAAAGACGTCGAACTTATTTTCTTACTAATGGACCAGCGAAGAACCAGCCTGTAATGATACCACCAATTGTATACACTGTGTTCATTAAGCCAAGCATGTAACTGTCCTGCGATCGAGTCAGAGACGAGCCTGCGCGGAGCCCGAGATGCATACGGGATTGTCAAAATAAGCATGCCAATTATCGGAATTCTGTACGGAGTTGAAAACGGAGGCATCGTAGCCCATCAACACCATGCACCCGGCCGCCACCAGGCAAATATACCTGCTCCAGTTAGATATGATGCGTAGTGAGTTGAGCTGGGGATATTCGTACCAATTGTAGAGTCTCGTCTTGTGGACCATTTTGTCACAAGTGTATGGCAAGTATCAGCTGTTAAGCGGGTGAGGTTTGGAGGAGTCCGTCTGTCTTTATTTTAAGCTCCAAGCTCTTGCTATCAGAAACGCATATCTATTTATCTAGCGTCATCTGTAACAAAGACGAGACCTGCGACGTTCAGCAACGCTATATCGTAATTAATTGGAGGAATAGCGAGCAATAACTACCACCAGTAAAAGCCAGCGGTGGTACAGAATTGCACATTCATGCTAAAGAGCTCCCAGTTTCCAGTGTCTATAGATGGCCAAAATGCCTGAGGGAAGCTTTAAGTCGAGTCCTTCCCCGGATTCAACCATTTTACCCAGAAGAGGCGTTCAAACAGGCTAAATCTAGATATACGTATCCTGGAGCTGGCCTAAGACCATCGAGATCTAGCGATCCGAGGGCAAGCTTTGGGCCTCGGTTGCCAATCCAGACGATGCGATTCGTGCCCGCCGAAGGATGCGGCCATGCGGACATAATACCAAGACTTTTGGTTCTTGGGTCTGGATCCTTTGAGATATGAGTGAGTTCTGTTTTTGGCTCTGCCCATGTACGAGCACCGAGTATGTCCCACAAGGTTTGGATCAATTGAATATGGTGACCAAGCTCAAGTCGAGAATAACCCCCTCTTGTTAAATCAAAGTTTCAATCTTGTGCTATACGAATAGGCATTATGTTTTGTACGGGTTGTAGCAACGATTGTAACAGCTTCCCCCTTCAACTGCTATCCCCATCCAGGCCCCCTCCTAGACAATATACACCCTGCCGTATATATGATATAGACGTGATATGCAATAAAGACTACCACCACCAGATCCGTTGATCAATCCAGTCAACATTGCCTGGCCTACCATCCTCGGTTAGGAACACTTTTGCCGGCGAGTTATACCCATCCCAAGTTTCTGCATCTAACAGCACACTATAGTTGTACTCCTGCCGCGCTGCAACATCCCATCCAGGCCCAAGATTCTCATACTCTCCCATGAGCGTCTGCCCTGTAATGGGCGCCTGCCAAAGTACGTACCCACTATCCCGAATCGTACCATCTTCGTAAGTCCCCGCAAAGATACTCCGATGTCACACTATTCCAAGGTCGACCGAGGGCACACCGTCCCTCTTGCTCCACCGCAACAGAGGCATTCACAGCCTTGATGATAGAATCATGCACATACACCCCGAATTTATTGACATACGTCGTATTCGTCCCCTTCCAGGCCGTGATGCCGCCCCCACAACCCTGCAGAACCAAATCACATCTTTCGAACCATGCAGTGCCAAACCCGTACAGGAAATCAGTCTGCCCGGCCACGATGCTGGAGTGGAAATAAGCATTCCCCAGTTTGCCAACGAAAACCGTGTCCTGGTAACTGTAGAACCCGGAGTAATAAAACCCGCCGTTCGCGCGAGAGAAGCTCAGCGCATGTGCTGGACCGGCCGATCGTTCGGCGTAGACGTTCGAGAAATCAATGTTGTACGTCCGGAAGTCGCTGCACCCGAAGGGCGTACCGTCTGGAACGGGGAGGCCCTCGGGCCCGGACCCTGTGAGGCTTGCGTTGAGGGTCGGCGCAACGATGAGAACGCTGGTGTAGACATTGTCGGTGTAGATTCCTTGCTCGGTTGCTGCAGCCCACTGGACGTGAACAGAGTTCATTGAGGCATTATGTGGGCTGTTGGATTCACCGAGCAGTATCAGAGGCCCTGGCCGGGTGATATTTAGTTGTTCGGTGTAGGTTCCCGAGAGGATGAGGATTGTTTGGCTGGTATCATCGTGCGGGAGGGAGTCAATGGAACCCTGGATAGTGCTGAAATGTGCCTGTTCATGGGTGGCGGAGACGAGGAGTGTGCTCTCTGGACAGCCGTCAAGGGGGTCTGATGGCGTTGAGGCTTGACATGCTTCTGGGAATGAATAATCTCCTTCAGTTGGATACCCCCAGGCCAGTGAACTAGCGCAAATCCAAATGCAAAAGAACCATGAAATGATAGCCATGGTCATGACATGTGACTCCAATCTATCTCCTCGTTATGGATGCTGACGGTACCACCTTTTTACACGTCCTCATTCTCGCTTGGAGTGACATTATCGTTGAATCCTTCAAAAAAGAGCTTCGACGAATTTGCCTGTTTTTCAGAGATCTTGATTTTACCGATTTATCCTCCGCCTAATTCAATAAACTCTCTGGGAGACCTTTACCATAGAAGTAGCCTTGCCTCGGGGCATTCATACAGTTTGGTATTGAGCCTCGGACTAATCCAAGACTATATTCCACCAACCACATTCTCTCCACAAGTCTATGATGCTGCCCTATTGTCCTTATATGACGCCATCGGATAGATTGGCTAAGAGACTTCCGTCAATGGTAGTCTGCTTTGGAGACTATTACTCCTGTAGGAGATGTCTCGTGTACGTCATCTGAATTCCAGTACTGATGACCAGATTTCTGTCTTCGAGCCATGGATTGAACTCGATAAAAGGTTTATCCCTTCTTACAATAGGTACAGCTCGCAGAGTCGCCGTACGCAGGGGTTGGTTCTTCAGGGTGACAAACTTCAAATAGCTTGATTTGAGCGCAGTCTCTATGGATAACATTGAGAACCACGGTGTCCATTCTATAGAAATAATTTAACGCCATAAGAAAGGCTGGCTGCCCTTCACCTTCCACAAATTTAACACTCAAATGCTTATCCAGATTCAATCTCAAAATCTCGGAAGATCACAGAGCTGCCATCACCACACGCAAATATTCCGTAAACAGTTCCTATGAGTTCATTAGTATACAAACAACGGAATAGGGGTAGGCCCTTCTACGTACCTGTGAAATCATCACCGCTCATAGCGGAGCAAGGTACCTCTCCCAACGCGATGTCTTTTGTCGGAACACTGGAAAAGCAAATTTGGGCTCCGAATTTATATGCCTCGACGGTTGATATTATCGACAAACGAATCGATACAGCATCCTGTAGCGGGTGTGAAGACAGTGTGGTGACTGGCTGTCCAGCTTCTTGAACCACCAGCGCCAAAGTCGAGCTGTGGGTCCTATACTCGATCGCTGCGTACCGAAAGACATCCTTGTACAGCGTCAATCCACAGGATACATCTTTGCTGACCGCACTGCTCAGTATGATTGTAACACTAGCGGTAGAGTCTAGACTTGTCTGTCGCCTTCCAACGAATGTCATCGTCCCATCAGGCGCCCCTAAGCCAGCGTCAGTGGCCGTAAGGGCAATCTCATCCCCGTCCTGGCGATAATTCTCCAAGTGCGGTGTTCGCAGATACAAAGTCGCGGGCGACTTCAGATCAAGGTCCACAGATCGTTTCCCCCCAGCCTTTCTCGCAACTTGCCGTCCAGTTCCCTGCTCAATCTTCACGTCCTTGAAAACAGGAAATTCACCATCAACCCACTCAACACTCGTCATAAACGTCTCCCTTCCTAGCGGGTAAGAACTCCCATACTCCCGCCTCGCGAGCATAACACACCACCATTGTCCATCCTGATCCTGAACGAGGTCTCCATGTCCCACACACTGGACAACTTCACTTGACCCTTCAGCCGTCAACACAGGATTTGCTGGATCGCTTTCAAACGGACCCCAAATGCTTCGCGACCGAGCCATAGTAATTTTATGTCGAGTGTGAGTCCCACCCTCCGCAATCAGCAGGTAGTACCATCCATCCTTGTGATAGATATGTGGACCCTCGGGCACTTTCCCGGTTGCACCGGACCAGATATCCCTGGCCTCGCTGAGGAGCTGTCCAGTGGCAACATTAATCTCCGCCTGCCGGATCACAGTCGCAGGATTCTGGTTATATCCATAGATCCAGCTCCCCTGGATATAAACCCTCCCGTCCTTATCAAAGAAGAGACTCGGGTCTATACCATGGAAATCGAAGTAGATGAGCTCGCTATAGGAATCTGGACTTGAAAGGTCCGTGGCTGTTATGATGAAGTTCGACGGGTGGAAATCCGTGCTACTTGGCATATCGGCTGCACCGGTGAGGTTTGTGCATATAATGTAAAATACGCCATCATGGTGCCGAATGGTTGGGGCGTATATGCCACCTGTGAAGATCTCACGGCGGGATGCATTGTTTATCTTTGTTGTTGCTTGACTGAGGGAGATTTGGGAGGGCCGATTGATAGCGTTCCCGATGAGTTCCCAGTTGATCAGATCCTCGGACTTGTGGATAGGGATGCCCGGGAAGAACTGGAAGCTGGAGTTGGTCATGTAGAAAACATCCCTTACGCGGATGCATGATGGATCGGGGTAGAAGCCGGCGATGATTGGGTTTGTGAAGGAGGACATATTGTAGAGGTCTGATGGATAATCAGTTCAACTTCAGGTGTAGGCCTTCGTTGAAGTCCGTCGATAGAGCTTTTTCGACTTTATTAGTATCTAGGATATAGGTCGTCTACCTAGTTTGGCATTAGCCTGAATCGTTGAGATGGCCAATACCCCCCCCGAGATCTGGTTGGACATGACTCGGTTATGTTGGCTAATGCTGATCACCTACGGGTGTTGGGTTTCTTGGCTCAGTGACCTTAAAAGTAGATCTAACCTGTGATTATCCACCAATCAGATACCATCTATCTTCTGATACACGTCTAGATCAGAAGAGAGGGAGATAGACCTACCAAAACACCCAAATAGAGCAATGTCCAATGATGAATAGGAAGAGCCAAGAAATCTAGTAGTAATCCAGAGAGGCAAATAAGGTATGGGTCCCCAGGTTGATCATTGGTTGATGTTCGGCCAAAGTTGGAATTAATCTATACACAACAGAATAAGGTATGAAGCTGGACGATAATGTTCTGGGAGTGTAAAGGTGGCTCAACTCATTATTGACATCCATCAGATGATGATGGGGGGAAGTCCTTTCGTCGGTAGGCATGGCATGGCGCCTCCAGGGACTCACGAACCGCCATTATAACCTAGTAAAAGAAAGGCATGAACCATAATACCAACGCAGGTACCCGAGTGTTATTGCGGGCAGATCAACCATTGACCCTTGAAAGGGGTGGTCTCTACCTTGCCCAAGATTTACCATTATTTGGGGTTTGCTTATGTGGGCCCTAGAAACTGTGCTAGTCGCTCATTGGAAATGTCCATATTCTTGAGTACATACGAATTCCATTTCTAAGGCCAGGTTAATAAAGCTCATTAATATAGTGATTCCCAAATCAAAGAAACCGCGCTCTCCAAGGCAAAGCCTACTGTCTATAAAAGCTGACGAGCACATGAATGACCAACACTCGTTGGATCGCATTCTAACACATGTCAAAAAGCTGCCCATGCGTTCCATTTATGCCTTCGTGGATATGATAATCACGATAGCCTCTAGTGACACCTCAAAATGACGGATATTCAACGCCGGTTGCTGAAGTCCCTGTTTTTCGGTGGTAAATGCCAGTTTGCAGCGAACTCGCTCCATATCCTGCGAAGTATGGCAAAATGACACCTTACAGCTACCAGCTATTTACAAAGCCAGCCTTGCGCTTACGATCTGAAGTGAACGCCGGGACTCCTGCATAGCCAGTATGTTTCTAGCATATGTTTCGTTTCCCTCGGAGGCGACCGGAATGTCTTGTCAGTCTACCTCTAGCGAGGATAAAGACATGGATGCCAGGGACACGAGAACACGTCCGCGAGGTCCGGGAAAGCATTAGGGACAGAGCATCAACTCTGACTGAGGGAAAGACAGGAGATTTTGGTCTACATCAAGGCATCAATAATCGCCAGGAAACTCATATCGAAAGAGTGACTCGTCCTGTCCATCCAGCTGAATGCACTTGTCAGGGCACCTGTCTGCTCCATGCAGAATACCCTCCTTTACTCGGGACTATTATTAGCAGTCGTAACTGGCGTCGATAGAATAGAGTATACAAGACTAATACTCCATATGCCAAGCAAGGGTTTTATGGATAGAGCAACCTAGATTATAATTGTGTAGCCGAGCCGGTGCGCCTCAAATTCCCGGAATCCTTTTGCGAAGATGTTCTATTGGACCACGTTGCATTCAGACTAGCGCATTAACCAAACCCATTTAAGTATATCGACCGGTGCAAAAACGTTCCAACTGAAGGAGTTCAAAGAGGGGCCGAGTATAATAAGTATTAATATAAGTCGTACGCTGGTGGCCAAGTTAAACCTAAGTCGTTGCAAGTGCCTCAGTTAATATGACGTTGCGATCGATTTCGGGGGACATAAAACCCCCAAAATTTAAAGTCGTCATTGTCGGCGGCTCGATCGCTGGCCTGACTCTTGCCCATGTTTTAGCTGCCTACAACATTGACTTTGTCGTTCTAGAGGCCCGCGAGGAAATCGCTCCAAATGTGGGCGCAAGTATTGGCTTCACCGGTAACGCCCATCGGATCCTGGACCAACTCGGTGTGTGGGATGAACTTGCCGAACTCGCAACCCCCATCGTCAACAACTATGTATGGAACGATCGAGGCCATCAGCTTGGATATACGGGAGCCTTCAAACTCTCGCAAGTTCGGTTGGTCCCATTCTCCTCCGGTTTCGTGGTGTATCTTGTTGCTAAGACTTTTAACATGGTAGTCATGGTTACCCAGTCATTTTCCTTACGCGCCAGCAAGTACTTGACGTGCTCTGGAATAGGTTGCCAGACAAGAGCCGTGTTCTGGCTGGTAAAAAAGTGGTCAAGATGGAGCAATCCTCCACAGAAGCGACGGTGCAGTGCCTTGACGGGTCGACCTACACGGGTGATATCGTCGTCGGCGCCGATGGCGTGCATAGTATCATTCATAAAGAGATGTGTCGACACATGGAAATGACCCAGCAGAGTGATGTATTGCTTTCTGAAAATAAGAGTATATGCACTGATTAAGGGTACCCTGCTTCAATGGTCTCTAACAATCGATATAGGGATGGTCACGCAATATCGCGGTGTCTTTGGTATTTCCAGCTCGGTTACAGGGATCAAAGAAGGGGAGATGCACAATGTCTTTGTAAAGGGGGCTTCTATCCTTGTTATTGGCTGTAAAGACCATGTGTTTTGGATTGTTGGAGTGAAGATGGAAAGAACATATTACGCCCCAGAAACTCCGCGTTTCGATCAGTCGCAACTGGAAGATGACCTTGCATTTTTGATGGACAAACACGTTTGTGCAGGAGTTCAATTTAAGGAGGTATATCAACGATGTATTCGATCCAGCCATCTGCCTCTTGAAGAAGGTATATTTGAGCGATGGAATTGTGGAAGGGCTGCTTGTATAGGCGACTCAGTTCACAAGGTACGATTATTCAGCCTATTTGATATTAATTCAATCGGCTCTTTCTGCTAACCCGATGTTAGATGACCCCAAACCTTGGCCAAGGAGGATGCTGCGCTATAGAAAGTGCCGTAACCTTGGCTAATGCAATAATAGAGATTGTGCAAAGCCGAGAAAAACAGCAGCCTCCAAATATCGAAACCAGATTGGACTCCTGGGCAACTGCGAGCAAGCCCAGGATGAGGCTTATTTGTACGCTGTCAGAGATGGTGATACGGATGCAATCGCTAGATAATGTGGTCTATGAGATTACTGGCCCAATCTTTTCCAAGTACTATATGGACACCTTTGCAGATCTCATATCTGACATGGGCGTGGGTGGCGAATGCATATCTTTTCTCCCTCTACCCGAACGTCAAAGAACTGGGACGATGCCGTTTGGGAAGCGCCACTATATCGGGTCCCCGATTATACCACCCGGCCGTCTACTTTGGAGCATCCCGCTTCTGATTTGCTTCTCCTTAAGCATTCTTATGTCTCCAGCAGAGATCCCAGCTTCGAGCTCTTGGGACGTGTATTCTGCGATTGCGGACCTGGGGATCTTCCAGACTATTTGGGCTCTGGAGAGCGTAAGAATTTGCAACGCCATAACCTTCATGAGCTTGTAAGTCTCCTTCGCCTAATATTGTTGCGGTACTGAAAGGCTAATCTCAACATCACCCCCAGCTACCTTCCAATTTCTCTACTAGCCCACTCAAGCGTAGGGCTATGGAGAACAGTGCCGTCTTACGTTACCTTCTACTATCTGTTCTCTGCATCAAAACGTCTCATTCCCGACAGCCGTTGTATACGATTATCATATGCCAAGCCGATAATTCCCGCGCTGATAGTTGGCTTCTACGTACCTTCATTATGGGTTTGGACCTCGCAATGGTCTTCGCTTCAGTTCCCCCTTATACCGGTTATTTTCAGCTTCTTGCATCGCTTCCTGGCCAATTATATACAGGATACGACTGTCTATGACAGAATACAGCGTCCAACAGGCGATCTGCCATGGATCAGGGCGTCATGGGTTTTCACCGTTTTAATTTCGGGCGGTATCTCCATATGCAGGCATTTTCAGGTTCCGGGACGGGCTATGTCGTTTCAGTCTCCGTCTTTGGAGGCGACCTTAAACGCCCAGACAATAGGTATTGGCAGCGCAGTGATCTGGATTCTCTTAGAGCTGAAAGATGTGAGCGAGGAAAAGAAGCTACATCTACCCTGGTTATACATAGCTTTGGCTCTGCCTTTATGCCTTATCCTTGTCGGACCAGCAGCAACGTTTGCTTTGGGGTGGGGTCTAAGAGAGGAGATCCTAGCTAGAGATGATAGGGAGGGAGCGTTGACAGATTACGTCGCCTCTAAAGCACATGAGATGTAAAGTGGCTTTGGAATAGCGATTTGAGATCATCCCTAGATTTTGGTTCTGTCGACGGGAGTCTTGCCAGTGTAATGTCACTTCAACCTTCCTGCCCTCTCAGCCGCACTCAAGCAACAGGTAAAATGCGGTTGAACAGTGGATGAGCCCTAATATAGTTGCTACTTTACCCGCACATACCACTAGCTGAAAAATTGAGTGCATGTGAGTTGGGTGACGCCATATCATATTACGGGGTGAGTAGGGTATGTGTGGGCCAGCAGAAAGCTTAGGCAGAAGCTATCCTGTACTTTAATAAGAAAAATAGAGAGGCATCCTAGTCTTTTGGCCATAACTGTATGTTTCTTTCAGCTGCCCTTGTTTTTGTTATATTATTTGAGACTGCGTATTAAGATGGATACTCATACTATACAGAATGGCAGGTGATATTGGTGGCTGAGCACTTTGATTGCCGATTGCCGCGAAAGTCTAACATAAATCTAAGCGAAGTGGACCAATTGATCAACCGTGGAAAGTTCAGCTAAGTGGGGGTGTGGCGCATTCTCTTTGCAGCCGCAGCTGAATTGCGGATCCAAGCCTTCAAATCCATGAAAACAAAGCGCAAGGGCTCACCGTATATGATCAATCTTCCACCCATGGTGAGTAAATTGCAATTTTTCTTTCTCTTCTCACTTCTAAATCACGATCTCATCAACTGCAAAGATAGTGTATACCTCTTAGTTGAACAATACAACGTGGCAAGCCAAAACAACATCGATTGTGAACTAGTGCCCTACAATAAATATCCTAATCAGGCTGTCATAGGCTGTGTGCGGATCTCTCTTCTACTCCCCATCAGTTCCATTGTGGGCTTCCTGAAAGATGAATTTATGCAATGTCTGTCAAACGATCGACATCCGAGACCTCTTGCAGTCTTTCCACGATTCGGAAGCTTTCTCGATCGACGTCTTTCAGAGCCCGGACTCATATCTTTCCTCCACTCCACACTTCCAGCCTCACCATACTAGCATCAAAGCTCTCCAAGATGCCAGTAAAGCTGGATGTGAGCTTTGTGGGATGATCTGGGCACATTGCAGAATACGATCTTGCGACCATACACCATATGCTTATCGTGCGGATAAATGCTTGTGTCAGCAATATCAAGGGCCACTTCGCTTTGTCATCTACCAAGGGGTCTATAATTCTTATGCTCAGCTAATGGTTGTAGCCATGTCCGACAATTCTAAGCGCGGGCGCTCGAACGGGACGTGGATTGCAGAGTTAGATATATGTCTTGCAAAGGGTAAGTACCCGGAGGCTCGATGGCTGCCAGACTACTGCTAATGTCGAAAAGGTGCTGAGATCCCGGAAGATGACACACATCTCCTCGAACGTCTCGCTCGGAATGAGACGCCCTCGAATCTACGATCCGAGACATGTCTCTCTCTAGCCGCTAACTGGCTAAACAAATGCTCTCGGGAGCACGCAGAGTGCGATTCAGACAAAGATAAACCGGCCTTTCTTCCCACACGGGTCATCGATGTTGGGAGTCTGAGCACACCACCTCATTTACATGTTAGTGGGGACAGCGAAACCGGGAAATGGGTGGCACTGAGCTATTGCGGGGGCGCGGACTCATCCTTCACTCTCAATGCCTCATCTTTTGACAATCTCCGCAGCGGACTGCCACTGTCAGACTTCCCACCCACTCTACAGGATGCTGTCCTCGTGACAAGGGCACTGGGAGTTCGGTACCTATGGATCGACGCTCTATGCATCTTTCAAGATAATACCAATGAGTTGACGGCTGAAGCGTCGAGAACGAGCCATGTTTATAGCAATGCGGTTGTCACTATTGCCGCTACGAGCGCGGAAACAGTAAACGACGGGTTTTTAGACAAACGGGAACCGCATTTTAACTGCTCTTTCCCTTGGCGTCGACAAGATCACCCCGAGAGCGTCAAGGATGGTTGTCGCACGTACCCAGTCTTCTTTCGAAATGGTAGAAGTCCCCTCAACAAAGACTGGCCAAGGGATTCGCGTTGGGCCACCAGTGGCTGGACGCTCCAGGAGGAGCTGCTGTCGAAACAAGTCTTGTATTATACGAAACGAGAGATGATCTGGCAATGCCGCTCTGGGAAAGCTACCGAGCCAGAAGAGGAATTTACACGCGATCCCACACTGTTCTCAAAGTTAAAAGGGCTTCTAGCTGGCTCAGATAGTTCCGAAGACTCCAAAAGGTCTATGGCGGCTATATACAAAGCTTGGTACGAGCTACTCGAAGAATATACAAGGCGAGATCTCACATCCATGGATGATCCTTTGCCAGCGATCGGGGCAATAGCCGAGTCCTTCGATACTCAGTTAAAAGAGCAGTATTGCGCAGGATTATGGAGGGGCGATCTCTTATTTGGCTTACTATGGAGCTTCCACTGTAGCAGCGGTGGCTCGGGGCCGCCTGGTAGAGTTCTTCGACGCGCCCTGCTTCGACTTTTCGATTACCAAGACAAACATCCTACACTACCTGCTAGGCAAATACCAACTGGTGTTTCTAAGGGTCGCGGGCCGTCGTGGAGCTGGGTGGGAGCCGACGATTTTGCCGGTATAACCTGGCCCCGGGAGAGTGGTACCTTCGACTACCTTGCAAAGGTCGTTCGTGTTGAGGTTCGCGACAAGCTTCACGACGAGTTCCGCTCCGTAGAAGGCGCGGTATTAGCCTTGGACGCACCTTATCGACACGTCCATTTGAGACTTGGTACCTATTCGAAATCCCCGCGGAACCCTATAAGTTTAATACAGAGAGCCTTGACGCGGCTCAGTCCGTTGGCACGTACAAGGAAGTTAGCGGAGATCGCCCTGATGAGGCCAGACTACCTCGCAGCGACGACAACCAGCGGCTCCGTCATCGTTCCGAGCAGCAGCACGGAGTTCACGCTGGTCCAGCTTGCAAAGACGAGTATAGGGCCTCGGCCAGTACTTTATGTTCTCGTTTTACAGCGACATAAGAGATACAAAACAAACAGTGTGGGGCCACAACGTTATCGTAGGGTTGGGTTGCTGCGGCTTATGCCTTCACAGCCAGACAATGATGACTATATAGGGGAGGCGATGACAGATCTTCTGGAAGGTGCTGCGTATCGTGAAGTTACCAAGAAGGAGTGGCCGGTTGGAACCTTTGTAATCGATTGAGTGTGATGAGAACTCTGATATATTGTGGTAAAATTCATCACGCAGGTTCGCATCTCTCTTGCTTTTAGCCGGGTTGATTTTTGTGTACAGTACACCATGGGTATTAACAACTAAAATATGTGTCTAGATTAAATCCCTATACAGAATTGTAGTATGCTTAACCAGGACTAAAAGATATATAGTCACAACGATTCGTTTATTCTACCTTACCTTCAGCCTTTAAACCAAAGAAATCTACTAAGAATACTATATGTATTCTTATGGAGATTATGTAGTGATTATATAGTGATTATAATTTGAACAATTCCTCGATATAAGGAATTTAGGAAGCAAGCTAAATGAATTCCTTGTAGCCAAATTGTGTTATGGTTGGGAAATGAAGGATATTGGGTGTGTTAGGTCTAAATAGGGCTAGATCGCGGGAGCTAATTCTTCTACCAATGAACAACCTGCATTATTCCTACTGTAGCCTAAGCGCCTTGACATGGAGGCGCGGGTAAACCCCTACTATTTTCCTTACTGACGCATGGGCTTTGTTGGGTTTTAGCCAAAGGTCCGAACCCGCCCCAAACCATGTAAGCAATCTACAAGTGTAGTAGATTTGGTACTTGGTACGTGGCAATTACTATCATCCATACAATATCATTTTGACGGGTTTGTAGATTTAGTCTACCCCCCAGAGGTGTTCTATATAATATTCCCCAGGGTCTTGTGAGCCCTTTTTCTTTCAACTCGCTCAAGCAGAACACCTCATAATCATGGAATACCTTTTCGGAGCTTATATTCGGGTTCAGCGAGGTCTGGACTCTGCAAATGGTCTTCTCAATACTTCCCAAGCCTTCGAGAATAACCCTTCGTGCATGAATTCAGAAGATCGCATTCGGTTTCTAGACCTAACCCCTCGTTCAGCCTAGAATGAGAACCTTGCTGCTGTCAGCACACTCAACAAGGCAGAGCTCATGCAGAGGGCAATAGAGTCACCTAAGAAGCTTACCGAAAAGGAAATATACCTTATGAAGGATCGACTGTGGACAGGCAGAACTGATAATGAATTCCACGTATACTTCGACGCGTTGACGGCTCTAAGCGAGATATTGGACGAGTATTGCAAAGGGATAGAAGAGCGTCTGTGGCGCTTTCAACGACTTCTCTATGAGGAACGCGAAGACGAGGCCTTCGAGAGCGTCAAGAGGAAGCTACTGGAGAATCCCGCATGGCCTTCTAAAAATGCAACTGGTGCTAAGAGCTTTCCAATTATTTTGAATGCACTGCGCAGGAGGTTCAAGGAGCTACGAGCGCAAGGGCGCGGTTGGCAACACCTGTATCCGAGAAACGAAATCGATAACATATATGGGGGCCCCACAGAGGAGGAGCGGAAGAAGGGTCATGGCCGTTCTGAAGGTATCCTCCAGAATGTATTCTTATATTTGGATCGGGAATCTGCGGAATCGGTTCTCTTTTCTTGGGGGCGTGTGGATGGCATGAGGATCTGGGCCGTTGACCCAGACTATGAGCCAAGCGACGATACCGCCAATGGATATCAAGGTTATTTACGTGTACGCCTTCAGCAGCTTGTGGACAACTTCTACACCGCTCGGCGCTGGCATGCGAATGAGTCGTCGATGGAGGACTTGTGGAGGGCGGCGCAGAAGGACCCTAAGAACGGCGCTTTCATATCCATAAAAGACGAGGAACTTTTCAGGACTGAGCCCGGCATCCAGACCCACATCAAATATCGAGACTTCTGGACTCCATCAAATTGACAGAGATTAGAAAGATTCATTATAATAACGTCTACTTACTTGTTTCCAACCCACATACGATGCATACCCCGCTTTGTGGCGACACTACATTGTGGTGAATTAAACAGCGCATTAGATACACACTTTTGACTTCATTCCAACATAGTAGGCCTCCTCTGGCAAGGACCCTTAGAATTTCCGTTTCTTTGTGTTGAAAGCAGCGTTTAGTTGGTAGAGGCAATCCAGGAAAATGCCTGCATCATCCGCCATATCTTGACAGTACTTCCCGTCTTGTTACATGAGCCATTTGTTGCAATCCTTCGAAATTTTAGTTTGAGTTGGACCAGGTGCACCTGCGCTGGTGCTCGTTGGAGGGATAGACATGCACCTGCTGGAAGTGCTGTGAGGAGTAGGGGTAGAGGAAGGTGTGCCTCGATCCATATAAAGGTAAAGACCAGGTATACTGTTGTGGAATAGACGCAACTCCAGTTGACGTGTACAGATATTGGACAAACCCACAGGCCTGAGCGATCAGATTTCAAAGCAGGGTTCCAAGCAATGATGAGTATTCTACACTCACTACTTTGTGCTCCTGTACTTGAGATGGAATCAGTAAATTTCGGGCCGGACCCCACGCTAACCCCACCGGGCTCAGTGGATCTTCGGGACAGATCCGAGGATCAGCCTATCAATGTGATATAACTAAACTAGTACTAATGGGGGCTGCGCCCTGAGCTGAACGAGTTAAAAATCAAGAAGCTTGGAGTTTCCCCCCCTCACGTGCTCTCCCGTTACATTCGGCGCGGTTTGCCGATCTGACCATGGCGTCTCTTTCAACCCACACAAAGTGCCACTTTTGCTGATTCCGAATTTCTTCTCCTTGTCTAACTCTCTACTTGATCGCCACGTTCCAACTTCCAGGAACCGATCCCAGCCACCATGGGCGACATCGCATCTGAACTACCCTCCAAGAGAAAGTGTCTCGGAGTCGACTGTGACAATGAAGCGGAAGCCTTGCAGTGTCCGACATGTTTGAAGTTGGGCATGAAAGACAGCTATTTTTGTTCCCAAGATTGCTTCAAAAAGAATTGGGTTGGTTTCCTTATCCGTTGGTGACTAGAGTCTGGTCGCTGACTGAGCTCGTGGGGTAGGCCCAACACAAGACCGTCCACAGGACGGCGCAAGGCAAGACAGGACTTTATAATCCTTTTCCGACCTACTCTTTTACCGGTTCGGTTCGACCGGTCTATCCACTGTCTCCAACGCGCACCCTTCCTAAGTCGATCAGACGCCCTGACTGGTCTGAGACCGGCATCCCCAAGGGCGAACGGCGCTTGCATCGATCAAAGATTGAAATTCTCGATGCCAAGGGACAGGAGGCTATGCGCAAAGTGTGTCGCTTAGCTCGGGAAGTACTAGATATCACCGCAGCAGAGGTCCGGCCGGGAGTTACCACGGATTACCTGGACGAGGTCTGTCACAAGGCTTGCGTCGAACGGAATGTAGGTGCCACTCGCATGCTGATGACATATATATTTCTATATCTTGTTAATATAGACAGGCCTACCCGTCGCCGTTGAACTACAATCATTTCCCGAAATCGCTATGTACATCTCCGAACGAGGTGGTTTGCCACGGGATTCCGGATCAGCGAATCCTTCTCGACGGCGATATACTCAATCTCGACATCTCGTTATACCACGGGGGCTACCACGCCGATGTGAACGAAACGTATTACGTGGGCGATCGAGCCAAGGCCGACCCTGACTCGGTCCGAGTGATAGAAACTACCCGAGAGTGCTTGGATATGGCAATCGAGCTCGTGAAGCCGGGCACCCTCTTTCGAGACTTTGGCAAGGTGATTGAGAAACATGCCAAGTCCCGAAATTGTAGCGTCCACGCGACCTGGGGTGGCCATGGTATCAACACCGAATTCCACCCACCGCCGTGGATCCCTCATTATGCGAACAGCAAGGTGCCCGGAGCATGCAAACCCGGGATGGCTTTCACGATCGAGCCCATTCTGACGCTGGGAAAACCTCGGGAAATTTATTGGCCCGATGACTGGACGAACGTGACGGTGGATGGCAAACGGACGGCGCAATTTGGTGAGTACAGCATGCATATTAGATAGAAAGCCCTACGCTAACATTCGTGGAGAACACACCTTATTGGTCACCGAAACCGGGGTCGAGGTCTTGACTGCGAGACTGGAAGATTCTCCAGGAGGCCCGATTCCCATCCCGACGACCGACAACAGTATTAACGTATAGTCCGCCTCGTACATCATGGATTGAAAGACATAGTAGGGCATAGGATGATCAGTCAGATGAAACAGACACAGGGAAACAGGTGATATTCAAGGCACGGCAGAACGTAGGCTAGATCGAAGTACATTCTAAGAAACCCTCAGGGAGTAGGACCGGTGCCAACATGGTTACAAGGCATGTGGAAGTGACATGACTGGACGTTAGTTGCATTCTCCTGAGAGCTGGGGATAATCCGCGCGCTCTGCGAAGCCAATAGACTCCCGCATTTTCGGACTGTTCAGAGGGCGGGATGACCCCCTCGTGGGGGCTACATCACAATACAAGCATTACCACCAGCTCGCCTAAAAAAAAAAAAAAATAAAAATAAAAACCTCTGAGAAAAGTGCCTGCTCCTCATGCGCAGCAGCATGGCAAAAAGACCTTTGCCACCATATTGGTAGCCGGCCTTTAGGCACAGTCTTCACGCTAAATCAAAAGCGGAATAGAACGCTCCCTTCACTATTACTTAAGTGTGGAGTTACGCCCGAAGAAACTGTCTGCAGCCTCCTGCATACCTACCAGTACATTTATGGTAGTTCACGCGGAATTCCTGGAAATGCCATCATCTACCGAGAAAGTCTTCAGCATCTATGAGCTTACCGAACATATAATACTGCAGCTGAATGACCCTGTGGAAATCATTCGCGCCCAGCGTGTTTCCCATAGCTGGAGAGATGTTATCCAAGCCTCCCCGAGGCTCCAGGAGGCCTGCTGGTATCCATTGTCCAATACTAGGGATGCTGACACGCCGTCAATGTCCGATGGACAAACATGGAAACTGAACCCTGCTTTCAACCGGATAGGCGTGTCAATATCCAAAGATGCAGAAGAACCTAGAGTGCTAAAAGACGGCCTTCAAGAAAAGGGCGATTTCAGCTTGGAGGAACCCATCTACGACACACCAGGATCATGGACGACCATGCTGGCCACGCAGCCTCCCTGTCAGCGAATGCTGGTCGAATGCTACGGCGACTACTCCGGTGACGAGACAATGTAAACAGCCCCTCTGACCTTTACCGCAAACTCTTGAGCTGATATATTGCCTATGTTCTATCAGATTGTATCAATGACAGGCTGTCTCCTAATGGGCGACATCATGGCCATTCTAGCAGAATGCCGGAATCGTCAGCAATGCGGCGTAGATCGCTGGGGTGGAATACCTCACATTACGGGCCGGTTAGTCCGATGGGACGAGAGTCACTGGGATCTCTATGACTGGGTAGCCCTTGACAAAATGCCGGATGATGTATCAATTAAAGTTGCGATTGAGCTGCCTTGGGGATCCGGGGGTTGTCCTGGATTTTCCCTTCGCCGCCTCGACGGCAGCGAACACTTTCTGCATGAAATGATCCTGCATAAAATGATAATGGATGATGGGCAAGAGTATAAATGGAAATATGGGATGAACCTTACGCATAAGACGGAGTATAAGCCAAATCTGTTGGTTGTCAGGGAGCACCAGGAGGGATATCTGTCGGATTCCAGCAATATCTTCCGCCTACTTTCTGACGTGAAATAACTACTTCTTTGAATATACACGGTGTGGCCGGAATGTACAATGCTGCTGTAATCGGGAAGGCTCTTGATAACCTGCGTTGTATGCGTCGAGTCTTAAGATCTGGATTCCGTATCTGGTATTACAAAACTTGTGTACGGTAATATTTCATTTCGCTTTTTTTTTTTTTTTTTTTTTGCTCGTCATTTGCGTGAATTACCTTATAGCCGTTCCGACGCCTTTCTGAATATCGTTTAGCCATAGGTGTTTCGAGAGAAGACAAGAAACGTTTGCTCCAGTTTTGCAATCATGTACACCTCATCTGTAGTACTTAGAAGTGGCCTGAAACATAGAGTGGGTTCCTAGATGGTAGTTACCAAAGTTAATCTCTCCTATTTATTCATTGAAATAGAGTAGTCTTCTCAGCTAGCACACTTTAACTGTCGGTATTCAGGAATATGATAATATAAACTTTAAAAAACAAAAGTAAACTGAGTACTACAGAAGGTCCTAGATTTATTAGCTAGTATACTACTCCCTAGTCTAGGAAAAGAAGAGCAACATAGCCGTTTTCCTGGAAGGTAGTCGACTCCGTATGGTATATATTCCTTTCAGCCGCCTGTTCCATCGGTCTGCGTTCTGACCTTGCCCAACGCAGATACTGACGGAAGGAACGCCCGCCGCATACATCCAACCGCACATACGCAGGCGTGAAGAAAGTATATTGGTCCTTCCCAACCCGACGGAGTGGTCAGACGGAGAACCAGAGGATAGCCAAGCTCCTTTCAAGGAAAGGGCCTGGACAGTCCTATCGTCGCCTCATGAGATCCCCAGATGGGGGACTCCGTCCACAGTCTGGACGCGAATCGAGGTCTAGAGTGACTGACACTTGCAGTCCAACGACGGGACCATATTGTCCATAGTGTTGCATCCCGTTTTCATAATGTCTGGGAATTCGTGTCCTGAGTTGGAATATGAATAAGATATTCCTCGCCCACTCTAGCCTTCACACGTATTTATCCATATCCTCCCGCAGGACCTCAAATAAAACGCCTCTCCCTCATCATACCCACAGGCATCAAACACTAGTAACCTCAGTTGAAATCTCCACAGTTCTAAAGATCTCAATAGCATTCCCGGAACTACCAAAATGCTCACCTTGCCCATAGATAACAGCCCGAATCTGAGGGTCAGCTTGGGCACGCGGGACCAAAGCGTCTTGATCTGAGGCTCTGCGCCAAAAGCCCCGACGCCGGGAGTGATCTGAGCTCGGGTGTGAGCATTTACAGGAGTGGTTACCGCGCGAGTGCTGGTGGTAGATATGGGTGGTGAGGGCTGAGAGGGCGGGAAGACAGGCACAGATTATGCCTAGGGAAATCTCGGCATTTCTAATCCGATTAGTGTTAGTTAACTCGATTGACACGTGGCACTGAGAGAGAAAGCTTACCCGAGCATGTTAATGCGCATGAACGCCATTGTGATGTCCTGGGAATCGGCGTTGCTGATGATCAAGACCAGACGGGCGATGCTGGACGCGCAGGCGAGACCACCGGCGCTGAGGAGGGCTATGACACGGACTTTCTTTCGGGTGGGTAGATGTAGTGTCGATACCAAGGCTAGTGGAATGATTAGGACGATTAGATCGCTGACTACACTAATCACCGCATCCGCCAGCGTGATCTTGGATTGATCCAGGCAGCGGCCGGGAGTAGCCGGGGCCCAGAACTTCGAGATGGGGATGCAGATGCAGATCTTGACAATCAACGCTGGAACATAGTAGGCCAACATCAGGCCGAGAAAAAGATAGATGAAGATTACAGCCTTGCGGAAGGGGTGGAAGACCCGCGTCATGATCCAGAGGAGGCATACTTTGGTTAGGTAGGCTGCCGGGCCGTAGATAATCATAGTTCCGTAGACGGTCTGATATTATCAGCCTTTGGTTTTCAATCATATCGGGTTCGCGATCTGGCATACCTTACGGAAAATGCGTTGATTGTGATCTGACACATCGTCGACGTGAAGGCCCCCTCCATGGTAGCCCACTAATGCGGGTTAGCGGTGTATATCGTGGCGTGGCGGCATACGTACTAGCCAGTGCAATGGCCGAATAGCCGACCCCAAGGGACTGTGATCTAACCTTTAGCACGAGTTTGGGACAATTGCTAGTGCAGAACCTACCCAGGCAACCAAGCAGGCCGCTATCACAGTCAGTTCCCTGTCCATTATATCATCTCACGGAACGCACCATCTTCTTTGGCCAAGCCATTGAATACGAACATCCGGGTATAAACTCGGAGGGCGACGCAAAGCGTAGTGGCACTGATACATACGATCTGCAACGCCGTATTCCAGTGTTGGACAGTCCGATCGATTTGTTCCTTGGGCATAACGGGTGCGTTATCTGCCAGCAGATGCCCCTTGGCAGTCCAGTTAGTGGAAGATAAAATGGCTGCAAGTGACAGAGGTATGGGATATAATAAGAGAGGTGAACAAGATCTCCTACACCATCTAATAATAAAAAAACAACAATAACTCAGGAAATATCAGATTGACGAATATAATCAATAGATTGTGTAGAATCGTTATGTAAAGTGCCTGTACTTTTCATGATCATCATCTGCTTTCATACTCAGCTAGGACTCAATAGTTGACACTTTCCAGTCTATCAACATAAGAAGGGGGAGTTTAGGCGATAGAAATAACTCTTTGCAAAGGTCGTAACCATGAGCCTGGTCTCTAATGTTACATGGTCAGGCAAATCCCAATAGACCAATCACCAGGTGGCGGAAGACAGAACGGGAAGCTCGTTACTGGAGCCCTGGATCCATCGGTCTGAAACTTAGCTCCTCGCCCGGCCGAGTGAATCTCAGGTCCATGTCACTTGCACCGGATGATCATCCGAATAACGGCCGTGGAAATGACAGCCAGACCGTTGCCCGCTTTAGGAAATCACGGAGTCGTGGATGTCATCATCGACCCTTGTTTTTGCCACTTCAGGTTCACTAACCCTATGCTGATGCCACCAATTTTAGATTAACTATGGTTTAACCATTGTTCCTGCGTTTACTGTTACATCCGAGGCTTCTACGGAGAGTTCTACATCAACTTACAGTACCTGGTAGCATAGTCTCAGCCACCTACTCATCACCGATAATACATAATGCCAAATTAATAGGGTGCTTTGCAGTCTCAGTTGGCCTGTCTCCACTTGAACTACATGATTAATATGCCTTGTTTCTTACGGTAATCCCATTCAGAAGCTCGTCAAACCGAGTCCGTCTAAGACGAAGGGCCAGGGCTGGGAATGAACTCCTGGAGACAGGTCACCATGATAAGGCTAATATGTGACGCATTGCCTTTCAAGCTCTCAATGACAGTTGACTGTGCATCAACCATGAACAAATAAAATGATGAAGGCTAATTTAGAGTTCTAGACAATTCTCAAAAACCATGTGTTAAATGTGACATACATAAAAGCTTCTGTAAACCGATAGGGCGACCTGCCGAGCTTGAAGCCCTAGTCTAGCCAGCTGTCCCGCTTGACCCGCAGCCATGGACCCATGGTTCTGCATCATTACAAAGTTAGAAATTCCTACATTCCAGAGGTCTCAGGGAGTTTAAAATTCCCAAAATCAGGCAAGTGGATCGTAACGGCTTTTGAGCTAGACTTTTGACAACAGATAACATGAACATGTGGCCGCTTGCTTCCTCGGAATAGTTTCTAAAATAGAAAGCGCACTAAAGCGGAGCACATGTAAGTTGTTTTCTGGGCTAGTCACACAGGTGGCAATCGGAAATGTAACACCTGATTATATGATTGGATTGAGAAAGGAACCATAAACGAAGACATATCTCGATTAACATATTTCTCTCCTCCGCTAACAGCTAAGTATCACATCTTACCCCTCAATGAGTACAAGGTCTAGTACCATAGTGGGACTATGATGGAGAAAGAGAAATGTAAAAGTTTGCAGACAAGTAATTGTCTTTTATGTCTGTAGTGTTTGATGTATCTAGCCCCTCATTATCCGGTGTTTGATACTTCTGTCGAGTGCCTCCAGGTAGGCTGCAGTCTTTGGGTGGGTATCTCAGGGGTGCTGACTGGCCCCTGTCCCTGTTTTAGGATTCCCTTCCACACGTTCGTTTCCACATCTATCTCTAGTTGCTGATGCTAGCTGAGCAACACTGTGTGGTACCTGGCTTAGACAACCTAGAGCATTGCCTGCGAATGAGAAATGATCTCATTATAATCCAGTTTACCCTGTATCTCCATGCTCAGCTTGTCAGGCATGATCTGCCCCTGCTCGGTGTATGATGAGCACTGGAGGAGAACATGTCTCGAGGTCTAGGATCCCTTCCATCAGTGACACTGGTCTTTGAGACGAACACCCTCAACCGGCCCCACAGCCCTAACAACCCTCCTAAACATATTCCTACCGCTCAACTCGTCGGCTAAACGCTCCGCATGTTCCTCATCACCCGCCAAAAACAAACACGTCGTGCCTGTCCCAGCCATCAAACTCACAATGGCCCCAGTCTCCCTCCCCATCTGCAAAGCAACTCCAATATCAGAGTCCAAATCTTCCGCGACTTCCTGGAGATTATTATCCAAATAGGGAGTCAAAAGACGAAAGGCAGTATTCCCCCAGCCAATCCCCAAACATTTCTCCAGCTGCTCACTTTGACTCGATAATACCTCCCCACTCTCTATCCTTCTCGCAATAAACTTATCGGACCTGTCAAACACAAGCTTCGTCGACAACCCCCTCGGCATTATCCCCAATACCCAATGCCATGTCCGCATAGATACAGCGGCAACATCCACAGGAATAACAGGTCGATGATAACCAGCCCCTATCCCAACCAGCCCGCGGATAAAGAAAGGGACATCCTCTCCAATCTTCCCTCCAATCTTCATTAATTGTTCGTTATCTAGCCCCGCTCTCCAGATCTGGTTACAGCCAACCAATGCAGCCGCCGCGTCAGCACTCCCTCCACCCAGCCCCGCTTCCGTGGGGATGGACTTGACCAGATCGAAGTGCAAGGCTTGGCTTGAGATGCCTGCGAAATTAGCTAGACGTTGCGCCGCTTTGATGACGAGGTTGCTGGAATCAGCTGGGATACGATTGCTATCAATTCCGGAGACTGTCATTGTGAATTTTTGGGGATCCTGGGCCGGCGAAATGGTCATGTTGTCGTAGAGGGAGATGGCCTGGTAGACCATTGTGATATCATGGTATCCATCTTTGCGGAGAGCACCAGCGTGGAGATACAGATTGAGCTTAGCTGGGATCTCTAGGGTGACGGGGGTGAATTGGTTCACATCAGGCATAGTCATTGTGTTGTTTCATTCAGGGGAGGTGTAAGTTGGGGTTCTGGGATTTCTGGTGGCCTTTAGGAGTGGCAATTGCTGATAAGGCAAGCCAGCACGCGACACGGGGCAGCTAAAATTTCCCGAACTTGCGGTCAGTGACAGTGGGGGATTTATCACGAGGATCGCATTCAAATCGATCGTGGTAGCGTGGAGATACGCTCGAGCACTGGATATGTCACTTGCACTAGTTACATCTGGAGCACAAGTGAGGTTGCGCGCTTGATAGTCTTGTGGGGGTTTCTCGTGGTTAGTGAGTTAAGAAGAGTAAAGATCGACTGGAGCTGAACTGTGGGGCAAGCCAGGTTTTGTCATGGGTTTAACTGTCCATGACGATATTATGTTTTGTCGATCAAGCCGATGACATATATAGACGATGATTCCTAGTGCTTGATTCTGTTCTGTTATGGTTGATTTTTATCCTGGGATTGCAGGCGTACGGCACGACCTACAACACAACACGGTACAGTAAAGGCTGATAGTGCCCACCTCCCCCAACGTCCAATGTCCTCAACACAACCAACATTCGGCACCGTTCTCCTGGCCGCAGGAACAGGCACACGAGCAGGGAACGCCAAATGTTCCAAAGTATACAGAGAAGTTGCGGGAGAGACGGTGATTTCCCGTGTTGTGCGGGCCTTTCGAGCTTGGGATCCACGACACCCCATTGTAATTGTGCGACATCAGAATGATGCAGCACTCCTTACGCATGCAATTCAGGGATCTGGTGCACAGATATATGAGACAGTTGGCGGGGACACCCGACAGGCATCTGCCCTTGAGGGGTTAAAACTTTTGTCGTCATTGGAACAACCACCGTCGCACGTTCTGATTCACGATGCGGCGAGACCATTTATATCGTCGTCCTTGTTAGACAAGATCCGAGATGGGATGCGCGAAGCGCCTAATATCGGAATAATATTGGCGATTCCAGTTTCCGACACACTTAAATCTGTTGATGAAAGCGGCTTCATCTCCCGGACAGTACCGCGAAGTGGTCTATACCGTGCGCAAACGCCGCAGGCATTTTCGCTAGCCAATGCACTCAGAGTTCACGAACAGCTTGCCAGCGATAAAAATGTCGAGTATACAGACGATGCCTCTCTCTTTGAGGCGGCAGGCTTACCCGTCCGTGTCATACAAGGAGAAGAGAGGAACATGAAACTCACGTATGCGACGGATTTCGAACAGGCGGAGCAAATCCTTCAAGCAAAGCCTCGATTACCAGAACCTTCTATTCCTGACGTCCGTGTCGGGCATGGATATGATACCCATCGTCTGATTCCTGCGACAGAAATCACCTTATGCGGTGTCAAACTTTCGCATACCTCGGGGCTGCTGGGCCACTCGGACGCTGACGTGGGTCTTCACGCTCTGACCAATGCACTACTGGGCACGATTGGGGCGGATGATATCGGAAGCCACTTTTCGCCATCCGATCCCAAGTGGAAAGGTGCTTCGTCAGATCAGTTTGTTCGACATGCGAGGAAACTTGTCAGTGATGCCGGTGGCGTCATCACGCATGCCGATGTGACCTTAATATGTGAGAGGCCTAAGATTGGTCCGCATCGAGATGCACTAAAAGAATCCGTGGCTCGTATACTCTCGTTGGATAGGTCGCGTGTATCCATCAAAGCTGGGACGAATGAGAAGGTGGGCTTTGTTGGAAGGGAAGAGGGAATCGTCGGGTTTGCAACGGTAACGGCTGTGTTTCTTGGTAATGTCTTGCGGGCTGAAGTGGACTGTGATTACAATAGTAACAATGGTTTGCCCAATGGGCACTAAGGAGGAACTTTAACCCTAATGTTTGTACTGTCAGAACTGTATGATAGAAGTTGGTCAGCCATTGCTTTCAGGGTCGATGCCTTTCCAATATGCTCTTGCCTTTGCCTGTGCGAAGGTATCCCTCGTATGACTCACTGGCTCACCGAATGTTCTTCTTTGCTCCTACAAGCTACTCCTAATCTTGTATGATAGTGGATGTTGGCCGTATTGATCGGTTGGAGGCACGACCAA